GGAGGAGGAGGGTGGAAGGAACCGCAGCAGCAGCAGGGCTGTTTTATTCATGGCCGAGGTTGAACCGCGGCCATGGCGTTGCTTCCACGACGGCCTGTGAGTGACTCCGGGGCCGCCACTCCACGCCACTCCACGCCGCCGACAAAGGCGGGCGGTGGTGTTCTATATCAGAATGAGCCACTACCGCTGCACATCGCCGACCTGCTAGATGGCCCCGTAGTGCCTCTTCCAGCCCCCGCCGCGCCGCGCAACCCCAAGTCCAAAGAGTGATGACGGCCGCGTCGCAGGGCCTCCCGCACAATGGCCACGGGTACCGCCGCCCCCCGCCGCACCGCCGCACCGCCCCCCGACCCACCGCCCCAGTGTGGCCCTCCTCCGCGTTCAAAGGTGTCGAAAAGTTTGGAGGTTTGGAGCGCCGCTCTATGGAACGCGATTTGATTAGTTTGGGTGCTGGCGCCGCGTGAACAGGAAGGCGCCACGAGGCGGGGCGGGGTGGGGCGTGGGGCGGCGCTGGGCGGGGCGGGGTGTCTTGCATAGCTTGGGGCGGTGCGGGCCGCGCTCTAGTTATCGCCTGTTTATTGTGGTCCACTGAAAGGGGACTGACTATGGCCACCCTGTATGCGAGGTGATTTTGGCTCGTGCCCTGACGTGAGTCTCAAGGCGTGCACTTTCGGGGGGATCTTTAAGAGAGCAACAGCTGTTTGAACTTCTCAGTCCGGTCCGGGGATCTCGGATGCCGTCCGTCCCTGAAATGTTTGCGTTTCGTCTGCAAAACTGAGACCCGTCGACTCAAGCTCCGGGCGGCGGCGTCCCCGTGGACCTGAAGCTCGCCCGGCCGAGATCCCAAGCCATCCCGGCGCCGATCGCGTCACGTACAACACGAGCGGCCCCACACCACGCTCGGCCAGACCTGCCATTAATACTTACTCACTCGCCATTACCTATTCCATCACCGGGTCGCCAGACAATACCTATTACCAAAACTATCTGCCCGGCTCCGCCTCGCCCTCAGTCTTAGAAGTTGAGTGACCCCCC